AAATACTAAGGTAAACTGTATCGTATATGATAAGCCGAGGATAACAGATCATTTATGGATAAGCGTTGAACTTAATAGAAGTAATATTGAAGAAAAATATAGAGAATTCATTAGTAGAGATTACAGCAAATTTCAAATAGATGATTTTTTATATGCAATAGAGGAAGGATTAGAAAGTAGAATTAATTTAGGGGTAAATGAAAGAGCAGAGAAATTTGTGCAGAATATGGTAGTGGCGTTAGATAGGGTAGCACCAAAGAAAAAATTTAAAATTCCAAAGATATGGGAAGGAAAAAAATGGTATACGGATGATATAAGATTAGCTACAAATGCAAGGGATGAGGCGTATGCAAGAGCGGTATATGCGGGTGAAGAACAAGATTGGTTACAGTTTAAAACTGAGAGAAATACGGCAGTCAAAATAATTAGAAAAAAAAAGAAAGAATATTATGAGAACATGATAGATGATAATAAAAATGATCCTGTATTAATGTGGAAAACTCTAAAGAAAGTCATAAGAGGAGAGACTAGGGGTTCGAAAGAAATTAATAACATAGACTTTGAAATATTAAAGAATGTAGAAGAATGTACGTTAGTGAATAATTTTAATATATTTTATATACAGAGCATTAACGATATAATAGAATCTATAGAAAAAAGAGACAGTAAAAATACAAAAACCATTTATGTTATAAATAGTAGAGATAAAATGGAATATTTTAAGTTGATAAATTTAAAGAAACTTGAACAAATTATTATGGCTTTGCCAAAGAAAAAAGGAACAGATGAGGGAATATCTAGTGATATATTAAAAATGAGCTTTCACGTAATAAAAAATGAACTATTGAAGATAATAAATGATTCATTATTAAAAGGAGTGTGTCCGGAGGGATGGAAAACATCTACTATTGTACCAATTCCTAAGGTAGAGAAACCAAAGAAAGCAAGTGAATTTAGACCAATTAATATATTACCAATTTATGAGAAAGTCTTAGAATTAGTCGTAAAGGAACAAATAGATGAATACTTACATAATAATGATATTATATCAGAGCATCAATCAGGATTTAGAAAATACCATTCGTGCGAAACAGCGATACAAAGCGTCATTGATGATTGGAAGTTAACAATTAGTGAAGGAGAAATAGTAAGAGTAATATTCATAGACTTAAAACGGGCATTTGAAACGGTGGATAGGACAAGATTGTTAGAAAAATTAGAGCAATATGGAATGAAAGGAATAGTGCTAGAATGGTTTAGAACATATCTAAACAACAGAACGCAACAAGTCAAATTTAACAATCAGTGGTCAGAACGTCTTAGAACGGAATACGGAGTGCCACAAGGTTCGGTACTAGGATCTCTACTATTTATAATATATATAAATGATATAATCGAAGTATGTCCGGAGGGATGCAATATAAAAATGTTTGCAGACGATACGCTTATATATGTAAGTGGAGAAAGTAGCACAGATATAGAGATAAAAATGAATATGGTTTTTAATATAATTGAATGCTGGATGAATATAAATTAAAAATGAATGCGGATAAAACGAAATATATGGTAGTTAGAAGTATTCGAAAAGAATTGAGAGGCAATACTATTTTGAAATGTTTGGATGGAACTAAAATAGAACGTGTTGAAACTATAAAATATTTAGGTATAATTATTGATGACAGACTACGATTTCAAGATCATTGCGATTATATGCTTAAGAAAATAGGGAAAAAGACTAGTTTTTTAAACAGAATAGGTAACTTCGTGTCAGCCTACACTAGATGTATTGTATATAAGTCCATAATAGCACCTCATTTCGAGTATTGTGCCACTCTATTAGTCGGGATGGGAGAAACGCAGTTGAATAAACTGCAGGTAGCTCAAAACCGTGCCATGAGAGTCATATTGCAATGTAATAGATATACCAAAGTTGAGGACATGCTGCAGGCGCTGCAGTTTATGTCCGTAAGGCAACGATTATATTATAATGTAGGTGTATTTATTTTTAAAATACTAAATAACATGGCATCGGTGGCGTTAAGTAATAAAATAGAAATAGTGGGAAAAGAATGTGATAGACAAACGAGGCAGGCCGGAAACATAGTACTAACATTGCGTAAAACGAGAAGTGCGCAAAAAAGCCTGTTTTACGAAGGAATAAAAATGTATAATGCGTTACCCACCGAGATAAAACAATGTGAAGAATTAATATTATATAAGAGACTGTTAAAAGAATATGTGTTAAATAATGTATAGTAATTATGTATATGTAATAGCTGTGAAAGCTAATAAAGATCAATCAATCAATCAATCAATCTTTCTTTAAGACACACGCTCTATCTCTCTCTCTCTCCTTCCCTCTTTCTTTAAGACACGCTTTCTCTCTCTCTCTCTCTCTCTCTCTCTCTCTCTCTCTCTCTCTCTCTCTCTCTCTTTCTCTCTCTCTCTCTCTCTGTCTAAAATTAAAATCTACTTACATTATGCTGATTTGAACTGCATG